ATCGGACACGCGAACGCACACAGTCGGTGTGATTTAATCGCATTTTCTTCTATGCACACTGATTCGCAGATCAGGCTGTGCAACTGATGACGTTTTTGTTTTATTTCGTTATCTTAAAAGAAAAAAATGTACCGGCCCCTGGGACTCAAAGAAATTCGTTTTCTTTCCGCCCAGAACATGCAATGCAATAGTGAGAACGTGCGGAGCAGGATAAATTAATTCTCCGGAGTTAAAATTTGAACAAACGAAAACAGTTCAGATGCTTCTAATTTTCCCAAAAGCTGAGATAACAAAATAATCCCGTAACTTTGATTAAAATACGAAGTTCAGCTGATCGAATATTTTCAGTGAATTTAAATATAATCCCGTACACTGGAAGTAAAAATAGGTGAATGTTATGCAAATTGAGACATAACGTGGTTCAATCGATGTGGGCGTGAGGAACAAATACTCAACGGGGTTGTAGTGGATGTCGTCACGGGGTCATCGGAAGGTTGCAATTTTCGCAATACTTGTTTCGTTGATAAATAGTCATGATCGTCATCGTGTTTGTATTTCATATTATTGTCTGTCAGTCATGAAAGGTGGAATGTTAAAACCAATTGGTGCCAAACAAGTAATCCAAGCCTAGTAAGTGCTTAATAATGGACTTGACTACTTCGAAAACGTAAAGGGTTCTGAGTTCTTTGTATGACCTCATCCAAATCGAGTTATCAATTCAAACGCGTTATTGATGCTACAAATATATTTCGAAAAATGAAAAAAAATTTGTCGAATTTTCCGAGGCGGCTGTCTAGACCGCATTGCATGAGTCTAGCTAGGAAACCGAAAAACCAATGTTGAGATTAGGCCAGGGTTTTAGGTAACTGCAGTCGCCCATTTAAGTATGTAGTCGACCTCTAAAGACCACGTTGGATGGGAGATATATTTCGCACGTAACTGAATAGATTAGCACTACGTGCGACGTTTTCCAAGACGGTCATTCGGCGTAAAATGTAAAGGGTGGTCACACTAAGAACTAGCAGGTGGGTATAAAATCCGTGACTGGGATCCTTGTTCAGATAGGTCGCGTTGGGCTTCCTAAATGAAACATCTCTGGGGTTTCCACTGTCCACTGAGACCACGAAATAAAGAATGAGTGGAAACGGACCAAATTACTTTCATCTGTTTATAAAATGACGGAAACCCATTTTGGTCGAAAATCTCCCAGGTGAACAGGTCCCAGTGGAGCCTGTGACCAAGTGCATGTTTGTGTGCACGTACGGACACACGAACGCACTCGGTCAGTTCAGTGTAAATACGACGCTGCCAGGTCTTCAGAACTTCGGCGAGCAACAGGCTTTCTTTGTATTTGCGAACTTTATTCTAAAAGTTTCGCCGTGTGTGTATGTGTGAAATAAGCAAGAACATTGAAGTATATTTCCGAATGGTAAAACTGGAAGAAGCAGAAAAAAAATAAAACATCGATTGTTGGTCTCTTGATCAGTGGAAACGCTTTTTTCTAACCATTCACTTCTGGTGTTGTGGGCTGAAAGTCAAACGATATTCACTGCCTTTCGGAGGAAATAAAAAAAACGACAATAGTACAAACCAGGAAGATATCGTGCACAACCGTATTCTTTTCCTTTTGGGCACTAGTAACACATAAGATAACAACTTAGACCAAAATGAACCGTAGTATAGAATTGTGATTTTAGTGNTCAGTATGGCGCATATTGTGTTCGCAAACATGACTCAGACCACGAACCTCCAGGTTGGCAAGCAACAATCTGTCTTGTGCTTGAGCTAAATGATCGAGGGTGAGCACCTCATAAGCAGGGCTATTGCACATCAGTTGAAAAGACTGTCTCAATAATCTGTAGGAACTCACAGTTATTCCTAATTGTACAGTGATCTCCGTAAACGCGGCCCACCCCTTGGAGGTTTTCGTAACTTTTCACTGACACTCCACACACCTCATTTGTATTAAGTCACCCTACCCCTTCCCCAGCCCTGCCCCGCCGAGAAATTTCAGAACACAAATTAACATGTCTGTACATTCGCAGTTATTAAAACCAGACCATTTTTAACTGCTAACACCTGTTTCGTCTATCAATCACTAAATCAGATAAACCGATGATTGGGCAATAAACCACTACTAGTATAGTTTTTTTAACTGTTTTCGTCTCAACTACGGATGATCGCGCGTCACCTATTTATTTATTTATTTTCTGTTTCGACCATTTTTATGGAGTTCTCCAAAATACTGAGCAAATTTAATTTGCCAATAACTTGACTCCTTACACATTCCAGTAGGAGCAGATTTTGGGGGAAGAGACCCAGAACACATTGTAACAACATGTGAAACCTTTTAGAGGTGGGGGTGAGGAGAGAAAAACACGATCAGATGGATCGAAATTATTTTCCGTCTCTCGCACTCTCTCATTGAAAAATGAATGTGCGAATACTTTTCCCATTGATAAGAGATGATAAAAAGCTTGTGTGGTCATGATTTTCCCCTTGCAATAATTGAGTAATCAACCGGAATGACTAAAAACATCAAAACAAGAAGCAATCAGCACTGGCTAAATGACATCATCATGAGACAGCAGCCTGTGAGATTTGGTCACATATTTTTTGGCAGATTGAGTTGTTGTTTTTGAATAATGAAAAGTTCATTAACCTCAATGGGATCCAATTTGTATGAAAACAACAGCAATCGAACAATTAACTATGTCTTAGAACTTGAATTGGTGGAATCTGAGGAATTCAAAGGAAAACCTGTCGCTTGCAGACTAACAGGTAAATTTCCTCTTCCTCTGTAAGTTGGATTGGTGAACCAAATATGTCAGGGGATCAGTGCGATCGGTGCACCGGGAAAGTGTGCGCTGTAGAAAGGATATGAAACCCACCGAAGCCATCGAACTTTGCCCATTTATACTGCTAATTACTGAATCATTAAACCAAAACGTCACCGATTTCATATGGAATGGGCAACTAAGGTTCGTTGTTCAGTCAGTCCACTGGTATGAAATTCACATACATAATGTACATCGTTTCATATATGCCCTCACTAGTAATTTTATCCATCCTGACACAGAGCAGACTGTCAAAATACCATGTGTGTGTGTATCCCCCACCCGCAGATCCACTGATGTCATCTAGTCGAATCGGGTCAGGCTGTGGAGTGTTTCGGGATGCAACTGTTGTGAGGTCAACAGTTTCCGCTCGCTTTTGTTTCTACTTGGTTGAAACGCAAAGGTTGTGCGAGTCGGCCTGAAACCGTTGCTTGGCCCCGACCGGGGAAGGTAAACTTTTGAGAGGCATTTTGATCATATGTAATGAGCGGTGGAAATCAAGCACCCAAAAGTATATGTACGCTCTGCCCAACAAACAGATGGACGGTACCGTCTGAGACACAGCAGGAGGGCCGTCCCCGATTAACCTCTTGCATATACACCACAATACATAGGGTTTAATGATGAACTCGATGTTATTTTGATTGTGTTGTTTTTTAATTCACCTGGATACTGCCTTTTACATAAACTTTGCGTCCGGAACGCCATGATCGACTCAATTTACTTCGATTTGAGATGATGTGGTTTATATCAAAGCAAGCAAAAAGTACCACTACTACCCAGTGGCGCGTAACCATAACTTCACACAACGACTTGAACCCTGAATCTTCGATTTATAAGCCGGAACCACTTTTATCCCTGAATTATATACATATATCCTTTGTATGTGGCTATATGATTCGATTTGAAAAAGATCGTTGTAATACATGTAAATTGGCAGACATCCGAATTTTTTGGTTTGCATTTTATTTATTTATTGCTATAATAACTTCAACTGTCAAACGATAGGTCATCCGTGATGTTGTAGCGTTATATTTGAGGTAGCATACCCACAGCCGCAATATAAACTATACTGGGGCCCGTAATCAGGATGTTGATTTCACATGTGTTTCTATCGGTTTCATAATTATTTTGGAATATTTCCAGAAAAACCAGCTCTACACTTGATTTCGCAGAATAAATTTGAAAGCACACTGACCGGCGCCAGGATATATCAAACCATAGATTTCTCGTTGATCTTCACGTTCTGGGACCATTTTTTTACCCAGATCCGCCAACAGAAACGAGAAAGGCAAATAAATTAAATGCCCGGTGAATTAGATCTACTAACCTGGGCAGTGCATTGTACTTAGTGAGCACAGATAAGATAAAAGCCTACTTCGCCGGTTGTCCTAACCGTGTGTGGACATATCAAATGACAGTATGTGGACAACTGTATCGGAAAACTGAAGCTGGTTACGCGAAGCTTGGGATTTTCCTATCTATAGCGTATTGTAGTAACCTCATTAAGCATACGCGCTGTTACATTGGCAAACTGAGCAGTGGACAGTTTTTCAACTATCACAAAAATTTCCCATGCGGTATTCATACGGCTAGAATCGACCGACACGGGGTCCCCGAGTTGATGTAGATTGTTAATCCAAGAGATGTATTATTGTCCCATCGGGGAATAGAACAAGACACAAGAGTCTGAAGCATCATCCCTGCACGAGAACTATCGATACATGGGATCATTAAGCACCGCGTGCTTTTTACTGAGGGAGCAGGGCTAGAAAAAACATGAGTGGTAGGCATGGTACAACGGGAATCTAACGGGCCCCTTATCCAGTTGCACTCAGCAGGCGGCTTTCCAAGTCGAAACTGCCCAATATTCTTCACATCGCACACTGGTATCTGCAGAGCAGTTTGAGATACATATTCTGATTGAGTGATATATCAACCACTATTCTTTTCACGACAGTCGTCTACACTTGTTCGAATGCGAAAATTGCCCTGTTAGGTCAAACGTTTTCCAAATCGTTCCATATTCCTGGCTTTTCATAGACTGGTACCGGTTCACAACTTTCAATCGTTTTAAGGAAGAGGAAAATAATTGACATGGTTGCACAAAAACAGTAGTAAGCGAATAATCATAAACCGTTAAATCTCAATTTCCTAGATTCTGCAACGATATCAGTTTCCTTTAAGCATACGTATACTCACAGTGGACTTTCGTTTTAAGTTACGGATCTGTTTGAGATATTTTTTGATCGATACAGTTTCCGAAGTTTTTCAATGAATCAGAATGATACCAGTACGAGAAACTTTCATTGATCGAAACCTAAAGGCCGTTATTCAGTCGTCCTAGTATTCGTTGGTTCGAATCCCTCTACCCCTGGTCCACATTTTCACTAATTTATTTGCAGCTTCCGATTAGTCTCAACTCCTCTGAATATTGAGTGGTCGTTCAATTTGTGTCCAATAAGTGAAGATAAATCATTGTCAATAAATTTACAATTACAGTACTGCTACCACGTATTGATCCAATGAAACTAAAAGCGAATGATTTACTCAGATACACAACCACACCGATTTGCGCAGCTATTGTCAGTGGGATAATAGACAATCCTGATTTTTGATGAAGTGGTTCATCTAGGCAAACTTACAACAATGCCAAGCAACATGTCTAAATATCATATACGCGATCCGATCGCGTTTGCATCAATGCAAATACGCTCAGTGAAATTAGTTGTGATCGCGCACGGATTGTGGAATAATGTAACTTTGTTCCATAGGATAGGATAGGATAAAAATGAGGCACCAGTACCACAACAGTAATAGCCTATTTTCGAGCGAATTTGTGCTGACCGACGGTATCCAGACAGTCAGAGTTCATCACACAAACACGCCTCTAATAATTTTTGACTTATCTAACCATCAAACATTGAATCATTTTACAGATAAACCTCAGTCGCCGAATTTAAGGGTAACTACACCCCACGGCTCATTCTGTGACCTGTATATTAAGTAAGTAAACTGACATGGCTCGTTTCAAGCCAGTAATCAATCCATAGTTGAANGTTGAAATCTTGAATTTTTAATTTCATAATATATTTGTAGCAGTGAAATAAGGAGATGTTGACTTGGGTCTTTTAAAATCAAACTGTTTGAGGTTTCCGAGATATCACTTCACCGGTAGAGCAATTTCAAATATTTGATAGCAAATCTGGATTGTTTTAGATGTTGTGACAATCGTTGTCATTCACAAATCCAATCATGTGCAATCGTTCTAGTGCACACTAAGGCACGATTGTAGCACCGTTTAAAACTAAACCATAAAACAAAGTTTATGTGGAACCGCACTAGGAGGTACAATTCATATGCCTCTAACCGCCGTTTGGTCGCTAGTGTTTGTATTTCCCATTTGACCCAAGTGTATATTTCTAATCTCTGATCTTTGTGTACTTGATTGGCTAGAGAAACCAGTCAATAGGCTGTTTCCTGCTGATTCTGTTCGTTAAGTAATGACTGTCTCACTAAAGAATCACGTGATGCATCGGAATTGGGTCGGACGTAACGCTTGTCCACTGCTGCGTAGTTGAAGCGCGTTCGATTCTCATACAAATTGTCCGCAAGTGAGTTTGCCTTGAGTGTGGCCTTGATAAGGTCATTGAAATCATGTGACCAACTTATTCAGTTTTCTTTTTTTCCTGTTGGTTATGCGCGTTAGAAACTCATATCCCGAACTGCTATCAGGCCAAATGTTACAGACTGACAGTAATACTGAGAAGGGAAATAAATAATGGCTGAGACACAAGCAATTGCCCCAAATAAGACTGCATCCCAAAGATAAGAAATAGCAACATAAGAAACATTGGTGAGTCGATATTAATACACTCCGAAAGATAAACGTTCGTGGAGCGTTCACTTTATTAGTAACATTCTACTTGAAATGGATCTTCGAACGTGGCAAGAGCCAAAATCGTTTTGGTTGAATGAGAAAAGAAAGACTTGCTTGTTTCTAACAAGGCAACAGAATAACTTATTATAAACATTTTTCGGATAAAACATAACCGAGTTTACACAAAACCTCTTTGATGACCATGACGTCACAGATCAATCGGTTGTGTTCATTTTCATTGGAGATGCTTTGTAGGTGCGTGCAAACTGATCCCCTAGGCATATTGATCTGGTTATAGCATCATTGTGGGTATACTGATGTCCGAATTTAAGGGAATGTGGGGCTAAGTAAAACATTAGACGCGAACCTGATGTTCGTCTTTCACAAGGCACTGTGCCTCCAAAATGTTGTTCTTACAAATCTCTTGTTACATGTTGTCAGTATTTGATGAGTGATTACTTAGGCAGAGGTTGAAATAATATTCCCGGGATCGGCCACAGAATATGAAATTTCAGTCAGTAGATTGAATCACGCAAACAGATTCCACTTCGCTTTTACTGACTGCATGTTATAGGACTGCAAAAGAAAAGGCTGAGTATGGAATGCTCGAACTTTTCATCGTATCCCTTGTACTCCCTATTTGAAATTCCCTATGGACAGAACCGTACGTACAGATAAAATCAGCTGAGTCCACGATGTGTTTATTCTGTGAAAAGATATGTATTTTACAATGAGTAGTATATGAATGACTGGACTGGAAGCATACGACCGGTTTCGTGATTCATGCCACTCGTCAGGCATGCGTATTCGGTAGTCTTTTGTTGTTTCATTCACATACGTGTACCCAGGAAGTGTATTGTCTTCACAATAACCTTATTTGCAACACCGGGTAAAACATCGAATCATAATATTGATTCATAAATGGACTGATTCTGAAAGAGCTCTTCAAACAAATTGCAAACAAGGTTATTGCGAGGAATATATACATATATATACCGGATACTTATTCCCGATAAGCAGCAAGGACTACAAAAACCGATCGTGTGCTTCTGGGAAATTTCGCTCAGTCCTTTATATATTTTATGCTGAAACTCGGTCTTGATGTATAGTTCGCTCAGGTTAGCCGCATCTAATACACAAAATCTAACACCGAATCGTTGCTGTGATTCTTCAAGATTGGTTTATCGCCTCCAGTCGATTCCCTAAAATGCAATCGGATACACGTATATATAAATCACTTGCTTTTGAGCAACATATTACACTTTTTCTTTTGAAAAAGTTTCACGAATAACTGAAACTTCTTTGTTTCTAAAACGACTTTCCTCGTTTTGACGTGCCACGATCGCTGGCGTCAAAACCGACCCACGCATTGGGCGTTTTACCGTGAACAGCAGAACAGATCACGTGTTCACAGTCGTGTGACATTGAACTTTAACAGCCAGGGGTTCCGATTCTATCAAATGCACAGGCACGAGGTTGACTGAATTGCCCAGTTAAAAATCAGCTATGTGACCTTTGAAAAGCTAAGTCAAGCAGAAANGCTAGTCCCTATGGGTTATTTTCGTGAAAACAGCGGAAACCTGGTTATTATTCTTAAATTTATGAGAGTAGAACCTTCTGTGCAGAGAAGCGAAAGCAGATGGACCAGTCGTTCAGTGCTAATTCTCCTGCGCTAATACAATATTTTTTTAACGCTCGCGTTAAAGTGATTTTGCCGACCACTTCATAGCCATTCGAACTGTATCGAAATTTCCAATCAGAGACTTATATTGATGAACTGCATGAGGATCCAACGAGCTAAGGAGACAGAACTTAGCAAATTCGGTTGCCACAGGAGGATTCGAAGCGGAAATCCTGAAGGTTATTTCACATTGTGAGCACGGCTGATTTGTCTTACCAAGTGAAAAGCACATACGAGCACCTAAAACACTCCAAGCAGCAATGCATACATCTGATTCCTTGACGGAAATGAACGATCATTCTCGTTTGATAAAAACATGGTCTTAGACAGAATAAAAGGGGGATCCAATCCCGAGTTATTTAACCTACTAGTATCGGTCCACGTGGACAATATACGTTTCATGTCCTTCCGGAAACTCAGTTTACCGGGCATTGCAACTGACTTCGGTACAGCTCAGACAGCAGTCGCGAGATCCTGTCGGCGAGTGAAGAAAACGATCCTTTATCACCCCTGGACGCTGGCTTTGTTGGACACTTACTTATGAATCACTCTAGCGAAACATGTGCCGAAAACTGACAGGGAACTTTCCGGACACCAACCTCAGTAGTTTCGCTTTACTTTTCTGCTAACGCAATTCGTAACTCTCTCTCTCTCTTTGTACTGTTCAGTCGATAACTGGAAGGAAAGTATTTTAAAAAAGGAGTATCCAGAGTCACCGAATAGAGAAAAGCAATGGTGGTTCCTGAGAGAGACACCGTATATTTGCATTTAGCAGCAGCATG